AGAGGCTACCGGCAGTGGCCGGCAGGGATTTAATCATGGGCCGGGATTGCGCGGTTTGCTTGGAGGACATCGAGAGCGAGCAACCGGCGCGGGTTGTTCCCGGTTGCAATCACGGCTTCCATCTCCAATGCGCCGACACGTGGCTTTCCAAACACCCCGTCTGCCCGATTTGCAGAACCAAACTCGGGTCGGAGCTCTTTGACCCGCCCGAGGCCAATCCTTGCTGAAACACAACATTTTTTGCTGGAAATTTACATCATGGTGGTCGTGGTAAAAAGTAAAAACAGCTGGCTATGTACGAGTAATTCTTTTGGGGTTAATTAATAATATTTGTACCTTAGGAAACGTTTAGTAAACCTAAAAAAAAAATTCCGTGTGGAGAACAACAATATTACTATTAGTCTAGAATTAATTTTATTATATTTGGAATTTCTTGATTTCTTTGAACAAAATTTATATTTGGAAACAATATTTTCAATTAGTATTGACGTCTTAAATATTTTTTTAATGGTATAAATTAATTTTGAAAATCTTAAAATTAGCCGTTATTACGGGAGTAATATATAAACTTTCAAAATATTAAAATTAAACACACTGATGTCATTGCCAACCCGGCAATAAAAAAGTGTGTGCGCACTTTGTATAAAAACACTTTATCATGATAATTTTTATTTATTTGCACATTTTCGTTTTATAAAATACTCCATAAAATACTCTTTTTATTTTGTAAAATTTGCACTAAGTAGGACTAAAACATAATGCATTTCCCAATGTAGGACTTAAATTTTTTTTATTCCCTAAATAGGACTAAATAATGACCTAGTGGAAAAAATAATGTCCAGTAACGATGGACATTTACTTGAATAATGACTATATGATAATGGCCAAAAGTCCTACATTGAGAAATAAAAACATATGGTCCTATATTGGAAAAGTCATTATGTTTTAGTCCTATTTAGGTAAATTACTCTTTTTTTTTTGTTATGAACGTAGTTTTTTAAATAAATAAATTTTTTTGTATCAATTTTTAAATAAAATGAATTGAAAAAAAAAATAAAATTTCTTTTCGTCTGGCATAAAGTGCCAAACACATCTTAAGATTCTGGTCAAATAATCAAAATGCAGAGTACGGGGGTAATTATTTATTTTCTAACTAATCACACATCTAAATACACTCTAATTATAGTGCCTTTTAGCTGTACGGCGCTATTAATTGTGGGTGGGTGCATGAATTTCGTGGGCTTGCCGTGTTCATCCTGTCCAGCTGCACAATAAATTGTGCATTTTGAGTGCTAATTACATTAATTTTATTAAAAAAATAATTACATTAATTAAAATTCAAATCAATTATGAGAGATTAGTTAATTAATTTCCCAAATTTCACTATGAATATGTACAAGAGTTGCGGAGTTTCAACAAAAAAGGAAATGAAATGCGTTCAGAAAATGAGCGATTTGAATGTGGCCTAAAAAAGCGTTCCAAAATAAATTTGACCAAATTAAACCGTGAAAGGGAGTTTCAAAATGGCCAACAAAAAGTGTGAAAAATATGTTTAAAAAACGAAAAATGAGTGAATTTTTGGGCCATCCATTTCTACCATCGGTCACAATTGGGGTGGAATATGTTTTCCTAAGAAGTAGGGGGAGGAAAGATTTTGCCCATGTAAAAAGGGAATATTTTAGGATTTTCTCCTTCACAGAAATAAATATGGAAAATTAATGTTTGTGCTGTCTCACTATTCTTATTGACTGCTTTTTGTATTGTGAGTAGTTAAAGAACTAAAACTTATAAGAGCACTGGAAATACTCGTGAAGTCCCGATGCTTCAAACTAGAGCTTCAAAATTTCTCTCTTTGTCACGTCACTTTTAACTTACTTCACAGATTCAGTAGAAATGGGTTTCAAGCCCCGGGAGTTCAAACAGGGGCTTCAAACCTTCATTTTTTCACACTTTTAAAATATACATCTTCTAAATTTAAATTAATAAATTTTAATTAATTTATTATTTAAATTAATCGCAATGAGACTAGTGCATTAAAAAGATTACATTCATTAAAAAAATATTACATTCATAAAAAAATTACATTCATTAAAAAATATTAAATCCAAAAAAAAAAACAACACTACAAAGAAATTACTAATTATTCGAGCAACTAAAGATATGTTCGATCAAATCCGCAGTTAGAGCATTGTGGTTCTCTCGGCTTCGAATTTCTTGGCGGTTTCTTCGTTTCTTTTCTTTGTTGATTTCTTCGTACATAGGCACCTTCTCATCCGGGTTGTATTGACAAATCGCAGTCCCGTTGCCCTCTATGATCATATTATAAAGAATAATACATGCGTACATGATATTCCTCATTTTTGTTTGAGAATAACATTTCGACGGTCGATCTAGAATGTGTCATTTACCCTTCAAGACCCCGAAGGCTCGTTCAATATCTTTTCTCGCTGCTTCTTGAGCTCGTTCAATATCTTTTCTCGCTGTCTTTTCCATCGGCCAAATAATATCCACGCTTGTAAAGCGTCCCTCTAAGCTCAAAAGACGAGTCGGGTGCGGTCTCATTAATCCAATCGTCAAAAACAAACGATTGATCGAGAACAATGATGTCGTTGTTCGAGCCCGCGACACCGAAAAAAGCGTGGCAAATCCACAAGTCATTTGAAGCATTAGCTTCGAGCATGATAGTAGGCTTGAGATGATCTCCCCGGGAGAATTGACCATGCCACGCAGTGGGACAATTTTTCCATTCCCAATGCGTGCAATCAATACTCCCAAACATGCCGACAAAGCCGTGTTTAGCAGCATGCCTTGCATGTAACTGCTGAATGTCGCTCGCTGTAGGCTTGCGTAAATATCTTTTATGATAAATTTGAACAATAGCTTTAGAAAATTTATAAACACAGGACCTGATGCTCTAAGCCGACATCTTTAAGTATTCATCGAACATATCATATGCCATCCCGTACGGCATCTGATGGAGCGCGGCAGTGCACTTCTGGACAATACTAAACCCGCATCGGCCTCTCGCATCAAATCGTTGGGTGAACCAAGGAACCTCGCGTTCAACATCGGTGAGTATGCGTAAAAAGAGAGGACGACTCATATGAAAACGATTACTAAAATCCTCTGGTGTATAAACACACGGAGTATTAAAGTAGTCGTTTAGAAGTAAAGCGTGGGCAGACGCTCGATCCCGGTTTAAACGTTGTCGTCAGATCCATCGTCGGGAGGATTCGGCTTCTTCTTCTTCGCCATCTTCCCCCCATTGAATACAACTCGTGGCGAAACAACAAAAAATGTGAGCTCTTTTTTCATCGTCAGATGAAGATGAACCCATTTTTAAAATATATTTTATCAATATTCATAATAAATAATAAATATTTTAGAGAGAAGATAGTGAGATGTGTGAGAGAAATATTTTTTTAGGGGAATTTATAAGTTTTTTTAATTTTGATTTTTTTATTTGGGGGAGGGGGGGGG